CAAAAAACTCAAAATACTCAAAATCAGTTTTTTGGAATTATCTTCAAAATTTGAGCCAATCTGTCAATTCTGACTTCGAATTCGGATTCAGCGTGAAAAAATACATGAAAATGTACTATCGTAATGTTTCGGCAAAAAAAAAATTTCTTTGAGCTAAAATCGCCAAAAACTGATAAAAATTCTGAATTAGGGGCACAGATAATTTTTTTGACGAAACACTACGATAGTACATTTTCATGTATTTTTTCACACTGAATCCGAATTCGTAGTCAGAATTGACAGATTGGCTCAAATTTTGAAGATAATTCCAAAACACTGATTTTGAGTTTTTTGTTGCGTTTTTTTTGCAATTATCTCAAAAATTTGAGCGAATCTAACAATTATGACTTTGGATTCGGATTCAGCGACAAGAAATACATGGAATTACACTATCGCAGTGACATTCAAAATTTTTTTAACTTTTTGATTTTATTTTTCTTTCTGAGCAGTTTTTTGAGTTTATCTCAAAAATAAAAGCCAATCTGATAATTCTGACTTCGGATTCAGATTCAGCGTGAAAAAATACATGGAAATAGACTAGTGTAGTGTCTCGGCCAAACCACATTTAACTTTTTGTGTGCCTGTGTAATTTTATTTCAATGGTTCATATTATATTATGTTATATAATATGTATATAAGTAGTATTTACAGTACATAATAATATGCCCCAAATTATGCTATATGCGCCCTGTATAATACGAACCTATGTTTTGGATGAGGGGGCGCTGTTAGTCAACCAGCGGTACCTGGGTTTTTCGGTCCCGAACAATCGGCGGTAAGCGGGGTTTTACTGCAATTCAAATCTTATTAATTTTTTTCTAATTTGTAATTATTATAAAAGTTTAAGTTGAAATTACACTGAGAAAACGATATTCTGGATTTATAGACTAAGAGCTGGCTACGAAAATAGGCAACGATAAGGTGCAAGAAAAGTTTTTGTATAAAAGCCTTCCTTTATGATAGATAAACACATAACCTTGCCGCCAGAAGGCGCTTTAGTCACCAGAAGTAAGGGTGGGAGGTAAAAGATGCAAATTTTTGATAAAAAAAAAATGATGAGGTGCAAGTCTGAAACTTGGTATGGTAGTAGATATTAATAGTAGAAATCACGTAAAATTATTACCAGAAGTCTAAGTCAGCAATTTGACCATGCCAGAAGTCGATAAAGTCGCTAGAAAATTGATAAAATTACACTGATAAGGTGCATTTCTGGCAACATCATTTTTTGGTTTTTAGTGTCTTTAAATAGCTGTATGTCAGTTACCAGAAATAAAAATTGTTACAAAGTTGTTTAAATATGAGACAATATCAGTCATAACTATGGGTAAGCGCAAAAAAAAATTTCGAGTTAATATAAAGATACAGGAGTGGGATTGCAAATAGCGACAGCGCTACGAAGATTTCGCTACGTAGCGATTCAAAGCTACATTCACTTTAAAAAATTTTCTAGCTATCGGGTGACTTAAAAAATGGTATCATTTTGATAGATTTAGGTTGGTACAATTGTTTTTCTGCGTATTTTTTTTCTCATATTTGCTTTATTTTATAATTTAACAATTTTTTTTTAGAATCAAGAATGTATCAAATTCATAAGGATTTCCCACGATAAAGAAATGAAGCAATTAAAAGAAGTATCTAAAAGGCTGACAAATTTTTCAAGTGTAACACTTCAAATCTCAAAAGTTATAAAAAGGCAATTCGAGGCAATGATAATTATTAATATTATTATATTAACACTTTTATTTCCAATTTCTATCCTTACCAAAAATCAAGAAAATAATTCAACTTTATCCAATAATAATAAACTATTTACTTTTCTTTTTTATATTAATAATTAAATATTTATTGCATTTATATTTATTATCTTTTTCATAGGATTAAAAGTTTCTATTAGACATTGTCTAAAATGGGAAAAAAATTGAATTAAAAAAATTTTGAAGATATAACCTCAGAAATAGAATTTTTGTTCTCACGCAAGGGTTCACTAAAAAAATGTATAGGGTATTTTTTGTGAGTTAAAGAGTTTTTAAAAAAATGAAAATTTAAATAAATTTAATTAAAAAATAATTAATTTAATTTAAAAAATTTATAAATTTTTAAATTTAGGCTGATAAAGAATATCCTAATTTTAAATCTCACGCAATTATTATTTTTAATCCTTGCAATAAGAATAATTTTCTTAATTTTTATTTATTAAATTAAATTAAAAAAATTTATTTCCCTTTATAAATTATTTTAACATTAAACTAGATAATTTATTTTTAAAGTTGTTATTTATTAAATTAATAGGTTATTTGCAATATTAAAGTATAATTTATTTCGTCACTAGTTAATTAGTTTATTTGAAACTAACAGTTGGCAAACATGAAGTTAGAGAATTGATTCCACCTTCATGTTGTATTTGTTTGCTACGTAGATAAAATATTTTAGGAAATTGACATGAATTCTATGTCAATGTCCTTATTTAGTGGGGTTATGTTTATAGTTTCTTCTAAATTACCATCTTGCAGTTTAAGCTATGAAGAAATTGTCAACGGTATTTTATTTTGGCCATGATTTGGAACAAATTTCACTAAAAATATGTAAGTTTTTAATTCTAAATAACAAAAAGCGCTACATAGCGACTAGCGCTATTAGTAATCCCATTGCTGAGTTGTTAATTGATTTTTATTAATTATTTATATAAAAAAAAATTTGACCCTAAATTTTTGAAATCAAGAAAAATTTATATCTCTAAACTTTACCATGACAACTTTGTTTTTGAGGTCGCTAAATGCGAATTTGAAGTCTATTTAACCCCATCAGGTTTAAATTTTGGTTTTTTGAGGTTATATCAAAACCCTGACGTGATGGAGTTAGATAGACTTTAAATTCGCATTCAGTGACCTTAAAAACATAAAGTAGTCATGGTAAGATTTAGAGACACAAATTTTTCTTGATTTCAAAAATTTGGGATCAAATTTTCTTGTTTTTTGAAGTTATTTCAAAATCCTGACGTGATGGGGTTAAACGGACTTCAGATTCGGATTTAGCGACCCTGAAAACATTAAATAGTCAGGGTCTGTTCAAAAGCTCAGAACATGAATTTTATTGTGGAAGTGTAGTGGTTTGGAGTTACTGATTACGAATTTGAAGTCAGTTTTTCAAAATCCAAAATGGCGGACGACTTTTCTAAAAATCTGTTCAATTTGCCTGAAACTCGTTACTCGGAGGTTTTTGGACTTACTGATTACGAATTTGAGGTCAGTTTATAAGAATTCAAAACGACTGATTCAATATGACAGACAACTTTTTTAAAAATTGATTTAATTTGCCGGAAACTTGTTTCTCGGGGTTTTTTGGGGTTGTTGATTACGAATATGAAGCCCAATTTTTAATAATTCAAAATGACGGATCATGTATTTTAATGAATATAGTATTAATTTAACTTGTGTTTCAATAATGTTACTTTGCAATCATCAAAATTTGATACAAGGTCAAAAACATATTCGTAATCAGCAACTCTGAAAACCCCCAAGGAACAGCTTTGTAGTCCTTTAGTTTATAAAACTTTTAAAAATAATGAAAACAAATTTTCCTCTATATAGAAACATGTTATAGGAGATCCTGATCAATTGTCCGGATGTATGTATGTGTGGATGTTTTTTGTGAACACGATATCTTTAACATATTTTAATGGATTTGGGTACAATTTGGTAGGCTTATGTACACATTAATCTCTCTTTGTTTATTTAAATTTAAGTTTATATATGAAATAAATTTATTCCTTGCATTAAACTAATCAATTTGTATATATAAAGTATGGATTTGATTTAAATTTAAAGAATTAATGAAAATTAAAAATTCATATTTTAGCACAAAAAATTTTGTTTATTTAAATTCAAGTTAATACAGGAAATAAATGTATTTCTTGCATTAAAACGAATCGATTTGTATATATGAAGTATATGTTACACCCAAAATTAATTAAAATTTTCTTAATTGTTTATTTTTAAAAAAAGTTATTTAATTTAAAACTGTTTTCAACTTGAAATGTTTTAAATCAATCAATTGAATTGGTGAAATTCATTGCTTCCTCCACGAGGAAGCAAATTTTTTGCTTTACACAATGGGGAAGCAAAATATTTATGAAATAATCATAAAGGACCCTTTCCTTGTTTTATTTTATTCCGCCATTTTGCAATTTGGTGTGATAAGGAAAATCTAACAATGGATCCGAATTCAGCATAGAAAATACGTTAAGAAAAGTTCTTGCCTTTTTGGGTCCAAAAGTTGACCCGAATTTGTCATCCTGTGTAATTAATAATGATATTATCATATTTATTCTCATATTTAAACAACTTTTCAACAATTTTTATTTCTGGCAACTGGCATACAGCTATTTAAAGACACTATAAACCAAAAAATGAAGTTGCCAGAAATACACCTTATCACTGCAATTTTATCAATTTACTTGCGATTTTATCGACTTCTGGCAATAATTTTACGTGATTTCTACTATTAATATCTACTACCATACCAAGTTTCAGACTTGCTCCTCATCATTTTTTTTTATCAAAAATTTGCATCTTTTACCTCCCACCCTTACTTCTCGTGACTAAAGCGCCTTCTGGCGGCAAGGTTATGTGTTTATCTATCAAAAAGGAAGGCTTTTATACAAAAACTTTCTTGCACCTTATCGTTACCAATTTTTGTAGCCAGCTCTCCGTATATTAAGAATGACTACTAAAATAGCCTAGAATATTAAAAGTAGTAGTCCCACTTAAAGTAAGTGGGAAATATTTTAAAAATAAATATATTCTTATTGTTAGAATATTCTTGGCTCCTATTTAAGTAGGCATTCTTAAATCTAGAATATCGTTTTTTCGGTTTAATTCGTAATTGATTTGTTTAATTATTTTGTCCATTATTATGTATGATATGTCGTATGATTTAAAACATAAATGAAAATTTGATTATAGAGCTTTGTGGGTTTCTTCCTTGGGACTAATATTAATTTACACAATAAATTTTCTTACTGGAATGGTTTTGTACAGTGTTTACAAAAATTGTGATCCTCTGCAAGCGGGACAAATTACAGGTCAGGATCAATTACTGCCGCTATACGTGATGAATTTCATGGGAAATTTGAAAGGAGTACCTGGATTTTTTGTTGCTGGTATATTTGCTGCGTCACTCGGGTAAGTATTCATAATTAATAAGTAATATTTTTTTTACAATTCAATTTTTAAAATTATATAGTGGAATAAGCATGGACTTTTATGTAAAAAATTTCAAAAATGTTTGCCCTGAAAATACTTGAAATTTTTTTTAATTTTTAAAAAATTTCATTGAGAGTGGAATACCACTGTGGAATTTTTACCAACGATTTTCCGGGGCGGTTAAAAGTTGCCCACAATTAAACTGCGTACAAGAAAACTGCACACACTAAACTGCATACTTAACTTTACAACCGGGAACTCAGGCTTATCTTCTTATGCAATTGCCTTTATTTTTCAAAAAACTTTTTGCTCATATTCGACTATTTAATCTTCACGTATCTAGAATTGTTTTTGATAAGAGAAAATACTCCTTTCCCCCCCAATGCAATTTGCACCTCTTGTAGTCTTGAATGCGAGGATCTTTATCATATTTTGTTATTTTGTTCTGCCTGTAAACATCTGCTCACTTCCTTCAGTAATGAATCTCATGATATTGTTTCGACTGTAGAAACTTGAATGAATATCTTTTCATCTTGCGACCGTTCAACTCTTAAACGTTTAGTGATTGTTTTGCGTAATATTTTTACCATGCGTTTAAACGCACTGTACATACATACTGCTAGCGCTTAATTTTAATTTTACACTTTTAATTTACTTTGTAAATTTTTTTGCGTAATTCCTCTTGTAAACACAACTTGTAATTAAACAAGAGTAATAAATAAAAAAAACTGCATACAAAGCAAATTGCACACGAATTAAATAATTAATTTTTTTAATAAAATATTAATAACTTAATTCGTGTGCAGTTTGTTTTGTATGCAGTTTAACGGTATTCACTTTAACCGTATACAGTTTTTTATTTCAATTTTTCAAATTTATTCCCATTAATAAATTTGTAAGTATTTTTGCTGTATGCAGTTTAATAGTAAATAATTTTTTAATTTAAAAAATTTTAATTTAATTCATGTGCAGTTTTGCCGTATGCAGTTTAACGGTGTGCGTTTTAATTGTATTTAGTTTATAATTTTAATTAAAAAATTTTTTTTAAAGTAACTTGTATGCACTTTTATTGTATGCAGTTCAGTGTGTGCAGTTTTCTTGTACGCAGTTTATTTGTGGGCAACTTCAACCGCTCCGATTTTCCTAATTGACTATTTTAACATATTTTTCAGGAGAGATTTTTTAATGTAAACACATTGGAAAAAAATGAAAATTAATATGGCTTTCGAAAGCAGATAGATTGTAAACATTTCAAGTAAATAATGCAAAAAAAGTAAAATAAATTTTTTAAAAGTGTATTTAAGTAATGAATATAATGTTATAAATATTAATTTAATAATTTTTATATAATTAAAATTGGATAACATTAAATATTTTGCCTACAAATAAAAAAATTTTGAGGATGGAATATTATTTTTCAAACTAATTTAAATTATGTTTTGTTTAAATTAAAATTAATGAATTCTTTCGTAATTATAAATTGTCGAAGACCATCCAAATCCAAAAATCCTGCACTAAATCACATATTCTACCCGCCAACGAAGCTTGATCAATGAAAATTGTTATTATGTAACTAAATTTTTGAGACCTCTAGGTTCTTGTGAATAAAGCTAAGAGCATTTTTATTTTTTAACAATTAATATTGAGTCTTATGAGAATTGAGTACTTTTTCATACATATTTACTGACCACAAAGTAATTAACATTACGAAATTAATAAAACTCTTTTTTAATACATTCTGATAGCTTAAAAATTGAATGTAAACAAGTCATAGAAACCATTTGCAACTCGACTAACGTAATGCGGTGTTACCAGACGTTTCAAAGTACCGAGCAACTCAAATCATAAAATAATGGTTTCTGTTTTGATGTTCAGTCAATCCCTATAACCTCCTTAAGGGCAAAGTGTTTTGAAAAATATTTAAATATTTTTTTACTATGTGTTGAGAAAAACCAATTTTTGATTTTGTTTTTACTCACCAGTATGAACTTTTTTATTATTTTATAATAAAATAGTTTTCTATTTTGTTACAGAACGGTAGCTAGTGCTCTAAATTCACTATCGGCCATTACTTTTGAAGATATTTTTCAAGGATTATTTAATTTCACATTACCTGCGAGTAAAGGGGCACTTTATGCTAGATGGATTAGCATATTCTTTGGAGCTTTAAGCTTTGCTTTAGTTTTTGTTGTTGAACGACTCGGCGGCGTACTTGAGGTAATGCAAAATTAATATTGAATTTTTATTAACATGACATTGTTTAATTTTATCTCGCTTTATTTTCTGTTACTCGTGTGGAATAATGATAAGTAAGCACACTGTAGTACCACGTGACATATGGAAATCATATTATGTTCCAATCCAAACAAAAATCCTCAAATGCATGATATGTTTTCCCTAATTATTTCATCGGAAATAAAAAAAATGTCGAAGTAAAAAAAGCATAATAAAAGTTTCATACATTTCTGCCAGCGGAAGACTATATGTATTGAATTGTTGAAATAACTTTTTGTTAGTTAAAATTATTAATTATTGTTTAAACTTGTTGGAAAATTTATTTGTTCATAATTCATTTTATCAGATATTTTATATTATCTGTAAAGATTATGAGATTATCGATAAATAGAAATTAAATAATTGAAAAATTAGTTCTTTAACATTTTTTCAAATGTAGACAATATAAACAAGTTGTAAATTCAGATGTTCATTACATGAACATTTTGCTTTCTCTTTACGATCAGCAAAAAAATTTGCTTCCTCGTGGACAAAGCAAAATTTTATTGCCAAAACGTGATTTTGATTTTTTAACTTTTATTAATTCTTTAAATTTACCTCAAATGTATACTTTATATATATTGATCGATTCGTCTTGACGTAAGTAATACAATTATTTCATATATAAACTTCAATTTAAAAAAACACAAAATTTTATAGCCAAAATGTGAATTTTTGATTTTCTAACTTTCATTAATTCTTTAAATTTACCTCAAATGTATACTTTATATATATCAATCGATTCGTCTTGACGTAAGGAATACGATTTTATTATATATAACCTTAAATTTTTCTATTTAAAAATTTTCTCGATTAAAAAATAATTTTTGGAAAAAAGACGATAAAATTTTTTTTTGGGTTTTTTTCAAAATCCTTTGGTCAGATTTGAGATATTAATATGATAAATGAGCCTACTAAATTTTATCTAAATCCATTAAAACCTGTTAAAGTAATCCTCTAAATAAAAAAAGGATCCACACACACACCCACACATACATACATCCGGACAATTGATCAGGATCTCATATAACATGTTTCTATAAAGAAAAAAATTTGTTTCCGCCACTTTGAAAAGTTTTATAAACGAAAGGACTACAAAGCTTCCTCCACGAGGAAGCAAAATTATTATTATTATCTGATGTTTTAGATTTTCTTTAACATTTAGGATTTGAGAGACATTTTTATGCTAAATAAGTACATGTTGAATTATTTTTTAAAATATTTTTAGAGATATTTGCATTAAAAATAACTTTTGTTTTTTTGGTCCTACAAAAAAAGGTCTGAATGTTTTTTACTCTAAAAGTGTTGAAATTTATAAAAAAAATTATTAAATTTTATTTAATTTATTTAAAAAATAAAATTTAATTTTACGATTGAAAAATGTTCTCATTGTTTCTCAACCCTGAAAAAGTTATGAATGAAGTTGATAATGTAATGAAGACTTCCTGAAATTTTGAGCTGGCGTTATTTTTTGTTTTCGAGATAAAAATCTTTTAATATTGAAATATATGGACTCGACGCGCAAAATTATCATTGTAACTCCAATACCTAGGCCCTTCGAGAACCCGTACCGCATGTCGTCGGGGCGGTTAAAGTTCCCACAACTGAACTGCATACAATAAAAGTGCATACGAGTTATTTAAAAAAAATTTTTTTAAAGTAAAATTATAAACTAAATACAATTAAAATGCGCACCGTTAAACTGTATACGGAAAAACTGTATAAGAATTAAATTAATATTTTTTGAATTAAAAAATTATTTACGACTGAACTGCACACCGTTACACGGCATACAGCAAAAATACTTACAAATTAATAATGTAGATAAATTTGTAAAATTGAATTAAGGGGACTTTCTGGTTTAGAATTTCAAAAAAATCAATTTTTTTTTTTGTTTAAAAATGTTCCATAGTATCATAGAATTACTGTCCCAAAACGTTTTTTAAAAAATATGTACAAAAACAAAAGTTATAACAATATTTATGACGGTATGTATTTCAACAACAATCTACAGTTATCTTATTTACATATTTGGTGTTCCTCTTTTATTGATATTAGCTTGAAACATGTTACTCGAGGGTTTTTGGGGTCGCTGATTACGAATTTGATGTCAGTTTTTGAAAATACAAAATGGCAGATCCAATATGGCGGACGAAAAAATAAAAATTCAACCGGATTTGATTAAAACTTGTTACTCGGGGGTTTTTGGGGTCGCTGATTACGAATTTGATGTCAGTTTTCAAAAATACAAAATGGCGGATCCAATATGGCGGACGAAAAAATAAAAATTCAACCGGATTTGCTTAAAACTTGTTACTCGGGGGTTTTTGGGGTCGCTGATTACGAATTTGATGTCAGTTTTTGAAAATACAAAATGGCGGATCTAATCTGGCAGACAAAGATTAAGAAATTAATTAAATTTAGTTGAAAATGGTTACTTGTGGCCTTTTGAGATTGCTAGTTATGAATATAGGCACAAAACATTAACGTTCTAGGAACGTTTTAATTAATTAAAAAAGTTAATTTTTTATTTTGTAGTCCGCCATATTGGATCGGCCATTTTGAATTTTTAAAAACTGACATCAAATTCATAATCAGCGACCCCAAAAACCCCCGAGTAACAAGTTTTGAGCAAATTCGGTTCAATTTTTATTTTTTTGTCCGCCATATTAGATCCGCCATTTTGTATTTTCAAAAACTGACATTAAATTCGTAATCAGCGACCCCAAAATCCCGAGTAACAAGTTTTAAGCAAATTCGGTTGATTTTTTATTTTTTCGTCCGCCATATTGGATCCGCCATTTTGAATTTTCCAAAACGTACATCAAATTCGTAATCAGCGACCCTAAAAACAGCGGGATACGAAGTTCTGTTGTAATAAAAAGTTGTTTGATATTCATGACTCAATGAACTATGTTATGAAAACTTTGAACGCGTTTTTCTCGAAAACTCATTTTTCAAACTGGTACAGAGCTTTTCTCGAAATCTACTTAACCGATTTTGAAATCCCAAAAATTTTTCGATTCTTTATTTAAAAAACTGGGGCCTAAACCTCTAAAAACTCATATTTCTACCCCCTGTGTTTTTATATGGAGGTAAATTGACCCAAAAACACGGCGTTTTTGCGAGTTTTTGAGAAAAATGTACATAAAAAATAAAAAAACCTTTAAAAAAAATCGTTTTTGAGGTTTAGGCCCCAGAATAAATCCTTATGAAGAGATTCCCGTTTGGAACTTGAATTTATGTATTACAGGTTGCCCGGAAACTAACGTACCAAAAAAAGGTATCTTTTGGAAGACGTCACCTACAGCTATGAAATTGAACTAAATACACTCAAACATATTTTTTAAATTTTCTCTACGCAATGTGCTACAATGTCCAAAAATAGTTTTTACAATTTCTTTAATACTGTTCTTACAATAAAAGTTTTAAAACCTTCCTTTTTTGTCAATTCTAAACCAGAAAGTCCCCTTAAAAACAGCATACTGTTAAACTGCATATAAAAAAACTGCACACAAATTAAAATAATAATATTTTATTTAAAAAATTATTTCCGATTAAACTGCATTTAGAAAAGATCCCACAAATTTGATTAGATTTCGCTATGTATACAGTTGATTTGTGTGCAGTTTAACTTTGTGCAATTTAAGTCATTTGTTTTTAATTCATTTTTAAATTAATTTACATACATTTTTTTGTATGCAGTTTAACGATATGCAATTTAATCGTATAATTGTTTAATAAAAATAAAAAAAGAACTTGATACAGTTCAGATTTCAGTTTGTTGAAAGCTTCCTGGCATTTATGTGTCTATATAAAATGATAAGAATCTTTAGTCTAGAGTTGGATTTCACTCCATCTTAAGTTATGCAATGTCCGAGATATTCTAACTCAGTCTGCAAATACTCTCATTTGTTAAGCTGTAGTTTTAATCCAGTTTGTCGGAGACGTTCGATAAGTGTAACTTGGTTATGGTTGTGTTCTTCTAGGGTTGAACCGAATACGAAAATGATGTTGAGATATACGAAACAAATCTTTTCAATTAATCCTATAAGAGCTTGATTCGGAAAGTCGTTGAAGCGTTTCGGATTCCGAATGGCATCCTCTCGAATTAGAAATGTCCTTCTGGTGTAGAGAGAGCAGTGAGTTCTTTTGAAGATTTTCCATTGATATTTAATGGAAACCCGCTTTTAGATAAAATACCGAGAAAAATTTTGCTTTCGCAAAAGATGATCTATGATATTATCTATTACCGGAATTATAAGGGGATGTCCAAGAATTTTTTTAAAAACCATGTCAGCTATATATCCAAAATAAGTGATTTTGCGGTAGTCATGGTATCTAATGACTGCTTCATCAAAAATAAAAAAACCAAATATTTTCTAGTAGTAGATGAGTATAGCTCGTGATCGAACGAAGGGTTTTTAAAAAAATTGAAATTTGAATTTTTGGCAGAGTTTTTTTGTCAAAAATTACGATTTTGGGAATCATTTAGACCCAGTAAAATTAGTTGTATTCAACAGGAAAAAAATCCTTCGTTCAGTATCTAGCCGTTTTTCCACTATGTAGAAAAAGTGTGCCAAATTTCAGAAAAATCGGTTCATTAGTTTTTGAGAAATCGTGACTACCGACTACAAAAATTGAGTTTTGAGAAAACAGCGATCAAAGTTGAATGACATAAACGTCGGATTTTCTTTTTTATTTTATCGAATTCGTTTGAAAATCTTTATTCTTATTCTTTGGGGTCGCTAATTACAAAATTTGGTGTCAGTTTTCCAAAATTAAAAATAACTCAAACAAAAAGGCGGACTCAGTAATTAAAAATCAATTGCATGAGGCGCCGGTCGAAACAAAAAATATTCTTGACATGTATTATAAAAAATTTGTCAAGTGCTAGTAACAAATATGAGGTATTTTACGTGTAATGTTCTAAGTTGAAAAAT